CACCAATAATTCCCCATCCAGAATCCGACAGAAACCTGGAGGAGAGCCTTGCCTTGCTGCTCCTCCGTCCCCTCCCCTCTGGCTATAAATAACTCCGACTAGCTGGTCAGGCGCGTCACCGGCGAGAGAGCGGGACCCCGAGGTTTTCTGCTCGGGGAACTGGGGGCCAACGGTGAGGAGGAGGAGGACGCGCCCGCCCGTGAGTAGTGATTTCCAGAACAGACCCAGCATCCTTTGATTCTTTTCTTTTCCTTCCCTTTCTTCTTCCCCCTTCCTTGGGGATCCTCCGCCCCTCCCCCCGCCCCAAATCCTCCGGGTAGCGCGGCACGCCCCGACGGGGTTCGATCCCCCCCTCTCCGGTCTCCTGCTCCGCTTCTCCCCCCTCCTCCCGGGTCCCCGTCTCGCCCGGCAGGGTAAGCGAGGCACTGAGGAAATAAAAGTTCAAACTCCTCTCCCCAGTCGGCTGGCGGTGCCCAGAATTGGACTCCCGGGCATCAGGATTCCACGCGCACCCCTCACCTGCTCGCCCCTAAATCCCTAATCCGGTTTTCCATATTTAAGAGCGCGCGCGCGCGCACACACACACACACACACACACACACACACACACACACACACACACACTCACACTACAAACCCACCCTCAGGGAGGCGCAAAACTGCTGCTTGCAACTACTGAAACTTCCAAGACGCTATTGGGTTTTTTGTGTGTGTTTTTTGTCTTAATAAAAGGACAACAGAAGATATTTACCCTGGGGTTTCTGTGGGGTAGGTTTTCTGTATTACTCAGATATGTATGTACTATGTTTGGAAATGCTTTCTCTTTTTCTCCTTTAATTTTCTTTCTTTCTTTTTTTTTCCTCCTAAGGCAATCTGCTTGGTCCTAGGCAGCCGCCGCTGCCCGTTTGATGTTTTGGTACAGGGTGCGCATGCGCCTCATATTAGCATTACTGCACTGGGCAGACTAAGTTGGATCTCCTCTCTCCAGTGAAAACCTCAATCCCATCAAAACTAGAGGGATGTGGAGAGTCCGGAAAAAGGGTTACTTCGGCTTCTGGTCCTTTCCCTTGATAATCGCCGTTGTATGTGCTCAGAGGTAAGTGTGCACGGGCGTTTCTCCCTTTCCGTTCTCACACCGAAGGGTTCTGACTGCATATACCTCTGTGAACAGGGATCTGTAGTGAGCCTAGGATGCCGAAGAAGCTGTGCCGGCTGCCTTATTGATTCCTGTTTATTCTCGTTTCTTTCTATAGTGTCAATGACCCTAGTAATATGTCGCTGGTTAAAGAGACGGTGGATAGACTCCTGAAAGGCTATGACATTCGTCTGAGGCCAGATTTTGGAGGTAATCAGGTTGCCTTGCACATAAGTAATGGTCCAGCAGTATGTAGCAAAGCTGTCTTTTGAGCTTTGTTCCCGCCGCCTCTTCCTTCTCCCTCATTGTGGGTGCATGCGGTGTACTGAATGTGCTTGTGTGCGTGCTGTCATTTTTGAGAAACTCATCCAAACTCAAGTTAATCTGTACTATCCAGCACTAGGATGATCTTTCTATGAGACAGTCTTCGCATGTACATAACAATGTGCTGACGGATGCCCTTCTGATTTCTCTGTTACAAAATCTTGGCTTCTGTGAGCTGCAAACCTCGTAAGTTTAGGGCATGGAGTATCCTGAGAACCTGGCTTACTAAAGGCCATCATGAACGTTTTTTTTTGGAGCAGTAGATGTGCAGGCAATTGGCTGAAAGGTGGCATTAACCCCTGTGCCCGCCTACTTTGGAAGAGTTTTAGCCATTGTTTAAGACTCTTATCTGGATATTATCTAGCTCTGGAAATCTCACTAAACCTGGAGAGCTGAGGGGAAGGGGAGGGAGAGGGGCAGGAGACCATCCTCTCTGGAGTCCTATATATGCCAATATACCTATTCAAGTTTTTTGGAGTTTCATGAAGCTCAAAGAGTTAAAACGTGTGCAGAGAATGGGGTAGAAAATGAGAAAACATGGAATATATGTATATATATATATATACATTCTTGGGCGAGGGCAATTCCTGTGCTCTGTGAGTTTTGTGAGTTTGCATGTTTAAATATCTACATGTGTAGACAGAGTTGGTCTCCTTCTCTCATAGAGACACGTGTGTGCATGTGAAAAACAGCATTTTATATAAATGAATTCAGCGTGGGTAGAGGTGGGTAGTGCTGAGGGCTTTTAAGCAGAGTGCCTCACACTGTCCAGGACAACTCTTGCTCAGAATGAAGTTCTGAGGAATCACGTGACTGGTCATCTTGGTTTGCAGGGCCTCCGGTGGCGGTAGGAATGAACATTGACATCGCTAGCATCGATATGGTTTCGGAAGTCAATATGGTGAGTACTGAGGCTTGTGTCTCTGGAGACTTACAATTGAGGGCAGAAAGGAGAAGAAAGCAGCCTGTGGGGGTGTGTTAGTGTTAGTATGTGTGTGTGTGTGGGGGGGGCGGTCTAGAGGGGCACAGTAGGGGATTTTTTTTTTACCTTGTAACTCACTGCTTGAAATTACAAAGTGCTTTTTATTACCGTGAATAAATTTTCTAACATGGTTTGATTATTTGGAACTTGGCACAGAGAGAGTAAAACACATCCCAAATTCATCTGTAACAAGGCAGCCACACACTGGAAACGCCCAGCAGAAGCCACGTGTTCTAGGGCTCCATGGGAAACCCCGTTTATTGGTTATTTTCTGGATTTGGAATAGGAAGGAGGGAGTGTTTTTGAGTAGGCGTTTTACAGAGAATACAACCTACAAACTAAACCGTAGCCAAGAGATCGCATAGATGCCCCAGAGTAACAGCTGTTCACGTGCTGCTTTGGGAGATCATCTCCTACCAGCCATTGGCAACCCTCCCCACCCCCATTGTCTTCCCCTTCTTCCAGTCCCTTGCCAGACATAATCAGAATAAAAAGTGTTCACCCTGCTCTCAAAATACAGGCTCAGATCCATGTATTTTCTCCAGCTACTTCTGAAACATCGTTCCCTGGGTATCTTAAGCTTGTATATTTCATTTACAAAGGCAGTCCTTATTGGCTATCTCTTTGGACAAGGGGCAAGCAAGGAGAGAAAAACCCTTGGTGTTCCTGACCAGGAAACACTTGTGGGGGGTTTACTTCATGCAGGAGCTCCCCCTGCTGCCCTTTTGTGAGCATTACAGACAAGTAAGACATACACGTGCTCTAGTTACTTGGGGTATTTCTCCAGTGACCTTTCTGATTTGTCTTTGGAAGTTCCTCCTTGTATCGAATTTGGGTAGTCTATTTCAGAAAATGTGCAGTACATGAGCTTTTGTGCACTGTAATTCTATGCCAGAAAAGTAGAACACTTCTTAAATTAACTCGAGATCCAAAGTTCTCCTAGGCATTGGACATGCTGGTGACATTCCCCACGTGCTTGAATTCCCAGAATTCACTGGAAGAGGAAGCTCAAATAGAATTGTCCATGTATGCTGTCTAAGCATAAGTGATAACTGTGAACTCCCATAAGATTCTGAAACATCTTCTGATTACTGGAGGAGGCAATGCAGCTAGTTCAGTAGCATTTAATATTTTTATTATTGGGATTTTTCTATTACATATGATACAGACACAGACTAAAGATAATTTTGAGTGATTCAGAATCACAGATTTCACTCACATTATGAAAATACTCTCGGCAGAGTGTATATATATGCGTGTGTGTGTGTGTGTGTGTGTGTGTGTATATATATGTATATGTATATTTGGAAACTATTGTGGGGAGGATTTAGAAGTTTATAATTGTTTATATTTTAAGTTTGATTGTAAGAACTAAAATCTAATATGGATGTCTCCTAAGGCCCAAGTACTTAAAGCTAAACTTTGTTGCTAAACACACACACACACATCCGAAGCATCCTATATGTGATTGAGTCAGAGTGATCTCCTGTATTTTAATATACTCTTACTCCTTTCTCCTCCAAAGTTTTACTTTTCTATCTCTCTTCTGATCATCACAAAAATGAGATTTTGTGGAATAATGAAGAAAATAATTAGGATACAGACACACAGTGATGACATTAGAGGCTTCTCTCATAGATTCAATAATTACTCACCCATCTGTCCTGAAACCATTGAGTGCTGTAGAACTTTGGTTTGTTGCTAAGTTTTGCCAGTTTTTAACCTGCATGTTGCATTTTGGAAGGTGTCTTGGGTGGATACAGTGCCATGGCTTGCTAGTCAAAATATAGATCTAGCTAAGCTGAGGTGTTATTTTTAAAAGCTATTTACTGTTGCTGAAAAATCATGGGATGTTGAAAGTGCAAAAATAAATGTCCGCTTGTAAATGGGGCAGTATTGCAGCATTAATGATTAGAGCAAAGTGTTAATAGCCTCATGCCACATTCCTTTCTTGTCCTAATGCTTACACACGTGGGCCTGCCCAGACACATTTTGGCTTGTTGAAAAATTAGCTTTTTTTTTTCAACTAGCTATCCTAATTATTAAGAAATCTCGCGATGAATGTTGTTTTGGTCTTTTGAAATAAGATGGTTATTTGACCTGAATCAACCATACAAAATTTCATCCAAACCCACTGCTATAGAGTCAATACCAACTCTAAAGAGTCAATACCAACTGCTATAGAGGCAATACCTACAGGATGGGGAAGAACCAGCCCTGACTGCAACTCTTCACTGGAGTAGATAGCCTCATCTTCTCATGCAGGGCAAGCTGGTGGTTTCGAACTGCTTACCCCGTGGTCAGCAGCTCAACTTTTTAATCACTATACCACCTGGGCTCCTTCAGATGAATTCATCGGTGTGTCTAAATAAAATAAGAAGATGTTGTGTCATATATTCCCCTCCATTGTCACCTGTTTCTGGGTCTAACAGGACTAGGACCTTTTGATTGGATTTGGTTCTAAAATGCAGGTTAATTATTTGAGTGAAACCTAAACCTTGATGAACACATACGTGTCTACCTCATTGTTGATGTTGTTTGGTGCCATTGAGTGACTCTGTGTACAATAGAACAAAGCATAGCCAGGGTCCCGTACCATCCTCAAAATCATTCTCATCTCCTTAGTCTTTTTGGACCTTGACTTCCTTTCTCTGGCTATAGCAAATCTTCCTTTAGACTCAGCATTGACTCATGTGTACTGGAAGGGTAGAGGCCCACATTAATGTGGTGCTCCTGGTAAATTGCAGTGAGGGAGAAGGCCTGAACTGAGTCAGGAAATCATGCTAGTTCTGCTTCTGCTGCGCATTCATGCTAGGAGAACTCAGATGAGGCCAGAGGAGTTGTTGCTAACTGTCCTGGAGTCAGCTCTCGACCCACAGTGATCCCATAAACCAAGGAACTAGTGGCTGCCTTCTCCTGTTTCATCCTTATGATGAGTTGCAGATGAGCCATTGCAATCCACCAGGTTTCACTGGCTGAGTTCCAGCACCTTAATGCCGGGCCTTTCTTACAGCTTCGCAGCAGAATGCAAGTTTCCATACAAAATGATGGAAGAATGGTATTTGCAGTGTAGTCTCATTATAGTCATCTCAAATGACTACCAGAACTCATTAGTTCTGTGTGAAAATATTAGTGGTCTATGAACTTATCTCAATAGAGAAGAATGAACCTCAAGTGAGTACTAAAGAGACCCACTGGCTACTCCTGCTGGTGCTCTAAATATGCTTAGACAGATACTATAGGTGAGTAGATCCCAGTTTCCTTATGTTTGAAATGAGAGAAGACATGGATGCTACGGTGTCCTTCAACCGAAAGTCATTGATCCTTTTAGTTTTGCTTATTGTAGTAGTTTGATGGACATGAAGACATTCTGAGGAATCATGGAGAAAATGCAGCAGAGATTTGGAGAACCGTTTGTGGGTTCTTACTCAGGGAAGCAGTCACAGTCCTGGGACAATGCGACAATATCCAGGGCCAGCTGAAGATCATTAGAAGATTCTGATTTTGATTAGGATGCTCCTGAGCAGAAAGGTTTGCATCGGGAAAAAATATATTTAGATGTCTTAGTTAAAGTGGAAGGTTTGGTTTGTTTTTTTTTAAGATTCTTTGATGAAAAGTATATTTTAAGATCCAAGTTTGGCTTTGAAGATTATAGACTGAAATAGCTTTCTCTACATTCAAAGCAGATTCCTCTCTATTTGAAGCAACACATTTGCCATCCCCACAGTGAAGCAATATTTCACTTTTGAGGAAAGAGTTCTAGTAAACACATATACAAATCACCTATTTTGTGGAATGGCAAAAGGAG